AGAAGTGAGTTGGCTTGTTTTACAAGGTGGTTGCCAAGCGACGAAAACCCAATCCCGATGGCAAACACCGAGTGGGGGGCTTGTTTTACAAAGTCGATGCCAAGCGACGAAAACCCAAACCCCGATGGCAAACACCGGGGGGGGCGAAGGGGGGGTAATAAATATATGAGGTATACGAGTAGCTAGATAGGTGCATGGACGGCCGCCAAAAAGCTCACCGCCGCCAGTGAGAACGTCAGCGGCGGCAGTGGCATCGGTTGGCGACAGAAGCAGCGGTATTTTTATACATAGGCGCTCTAGGATGACTCGAGGGGGCCACACACACGAACAGCAGCCCTCTTCAAAAGTGCAACAACGGGACTTCCCTCAATCCGTCGGGGCCCCCGGCCCCGTGTCGGGGGGCTCCGCAGACTAGACAAGTGTGGGGGTATTTTTGTTGTCGTCCAACTGAGAAATGACGTGTGTTCATTGGTCAGGCGGATCAATGCGGTACGATTTTGTTTTTGGTCTTGACTTCAAATCGGCGCTCACGATGGAGTATAAAAAGAACGAGACACATACAGCGCAACGCGCTTATCGCCGCTGAAAAACAATAAACACGTCCTTGCCGACGACGACCACTGCCGGATGATGAAGGGTGTCTTCAAACCACTCAAAAGAAAACAAAAATATACTATGCGTAGTCTACTTGTACGGTTTACAAGCTTTAGTTCCTATTTTTTTTTCATCCCCCTTGATATGCCATGTACAGCCGTGCCATACCTTGTAGGCCATCTCCACGGGAGAAACTTTTTGCGTCACGACGAACTTGATGAGGTCCGTTGCCATGTTGGCCTTCGCATCGAGGGTGATCACCGACCCGTTGAACGAGGTTTTTTTCTCCTTCCCCTGGAAAAAAAAAAAAACATCCCTTCGATTGGGGTATTGTCTCGAACGAAAAAAAAATCTCTCTTGTGATGGTATGATATTTTCTCGAAAAAACACGTTGTAAAGCAGCAGCATCGGGACAAGAGGAATATACCCTTTCCGCGACGTGCTACAACAGTACAGATATCAACCGGTCTGATGCCAAAGGCAAGTCTTCAGAGAACGGCCTGTTGCCGTACTAGGCGGATGTCACGAACGAACATACAACCTCGATGAAACAGCCAGAAAAGAAAACGACAAAATCAACGACATGCGCACCTTATTCCGTTCGAAGCTTCCAGAAGAAACGCGATTTCCGCACAAGTTCAAGACGGCCTTGTGTCTGCCGTGGGAAAAAAAAAATGGTGCATGAACAAAAAAAAAGAAGGTGGTGGGAGGGGAAGGTGCCCATGCGACATGGACGGTGCAGACGTAGATGATGACGTAATTCCAAGCATCCACGACTCTTTACAAGACAGTTCCAGCAGAAAAGAAGAAGAGGAAGTGCACAGAAGAAAATAACCCCAGAAATACCACGAGGCATAGCGGGCGAGGGAGAGGCACGAGAGAGAGGGAGAGACAGAGAGAGAGAGAGGGAGAGAGAGAGAGAGAGAGAGAGAGAGAGAGAGAGAGAGAGAGAGAGAGAGGGAGGGAGAGAGGCCTTGCCAACTTAACAGACGACTATTTAGTATAGCCGTAGCCACGCACACACAGACAACACACACACGCACTTTACGACGGTGCTGTTGATGGCCATGAGGTTGCGTTCCTCCGGAGAGGTGACACCGTAGACATCCCAGATGTGGCACCGGAGGCAGAACTTAGCCTCGCCTTGCACCGGTAACGGTTTCGGCTCCAAGCTGCCAAATCGTATCGTTGCATGTTTGTGTGTTATACAGCGGCAAGCAAGGGGAAATGCGGGGGAAGGTTAGCATTGGTCCCGGTCTGCTGCAAACAGCAGCAGCAGCAGCAGCAGCAGCAGCAGCAGCGGCAAAACCGGGCATGGTGTACAGCAGTTTAACTCGACAAGAGTTCCACCGCAGCCCTACATTGCAAACGATCTCCGCGACAGCCTACGAGCCGAGGATGCAAAAAAAAAACACACACACACACACACACACACACAGAACTTACACAACGGGGACGATCATCATGCATCATGCCCCCACGCACGGGGAACCAGCCACCCAAGAAAAATACTGCGGAGCCCCCACCTGGTGACTCGGATGTCGAGAGCAATCTCTCCGCACGAGGACTTGTCACCACCTAACTCGTCCTGCACGCGGCGTTTTAATGTGGTATTATACCGTGTGTGCATGTGGATGTTCGGCGTCGTGGTGGTACGGGTCGGATGGTTGGTGGGTCCCGTCCGGTATTGATCAACGGAGGGTCAACGGCATCC